TAATAATAAAATAAAATAATTTAAGTGGTGGCTAACCGTAAGTTATATAGACTATTGTTCAAAAGCGATGGGTTCAAAATATATTTTTTGTTTTATTAATATTATAATAAGTATTTAATATAAACTAATACTTATATTCAGCAAGGATGCATTAAATTGATTAAAAGTTACAGTATAGACATTTATAATGCTATAGAAGATTTCTATTTCAAATAGGCCTAAATGCTGTTCCTTTGAACTTTCTATTTATCAAAGAATTATTTTTAAAAAATTAAGCTGCTCAACTGTTTTCAACATGGGTAATATTAATAAATATTTATTGAGCAGCAAATCAGCATTTTAGAATGATTTCTGAAGGATCATGTGACACTGAAGACTGAAGTAATGACTGCTGAAAATGAATCTTTACCATCAAAGGAATAAATGACATTTTATATCATAACAATAAAATAAAAAAAGAGTTATTTTAATTGTAATAATATTTCACAATATTACTCTTTTTACTCTACTTTTGATCAAATATTACGGATATAAAACATGAACAGTTAAAAAAAAAAATATATATAATAAATTAAAATATATTATATACACACTTATTCACACTACATACACATTTGGGGTCAGCCACCGCTATAAAAACAAAAACTATATTTGTTTATACAAAAAAATAAATGTATTTTAATTTTACAGTGCTATAACAAAATAACCCATATCTATGGTATTCTGGCAGAATCCATCACTACCATAGTAGTTTTTAGACATGCCAAGAGCATCATAAGCTGAAAAACTAAATTTTATCTCATCTGGAACGTAACTAATGGAAATGTGCTTGGGCATTTGTAATTCGCATTTAATGTGCCTGAATGCATGTTTCGACAGCAGCATAAAGACTAAATGGCCTTATAGCCTTGCTACATTTCAACTTGTGTATACAACATATGGAGCGGCTCACTCATCGGTATTAGTGGTGGTCTGTGCTGCGTTTTATGCCCGGCTATTCCAGGTGTTCATTACTTCAGATGGCCAGAACACA